AAACAGATTGTTGGTTCAAGGTCTTAGAGAGAGGCCTCTTGGAACAAATACATTTGGCTGGCAAGCTTGAGTGCAGGGAAAAGATTTTTCAAGTGCATCTGAAAGCCAGTTCGATGAGAATCTTTTTTTTTGGTTTTTGAGACAGAGTTTCACTCTGTTGCCCAGGCTGGAGTGCAATGGCGCGATCTTGGTTCACTGCAGCCTCTGCCTCCCAGGTTCAAGCGATTCTCCTGCCTCAGCCTCCCGAGTAGCTGGGATTACAGGCACGCGCCACCACACTCAGCTTATATTTTGTATGTTTAGTAGAGATGGGGTTTCATCATTTTGGCCAGGCTGGTCTCAAACTCCTGACCTCAAATCATCTACCCGCCTCAGCCTCCTAAAGTGCTGGGATTACAGGTGTGAGCCACCGTGCCTGGCCTTTCAATGAAGAGAATCTTTAACAGACTGTGACATGGAGAAGGACTACTGTGGCCTGCAGAGGAGTTGGTATAAATAGCATTAGCCACATTGACAGTAGGACAGGGTTATGAGCCACATGGCTTGAGGCTGCCTGGGTTTCAGCAGGCAGCTACACCAAGCCTCCTGCTTAAATATTAATAGTACCAACAATAGCACAGTGATTCCAGAGCAATGAGCTGCTGGGGCAGCTGTTGTGATATAGCCCTGTTCAGGGGTACTTGCCTGAGTTCCAGCCCCACCGAGAAGGCAAGCTACTTCCACGACATTGTTGGGACACATTAGAAGGACTTTACAACTTATTTCTATATGTGTCAGGGAGAAAAAAACGTGCTGAAGGATGATTCTCAAAGGCGGAACTTCACAAACTTTTAAACATCTTGGCACATATTAAATAGCACATTTAGATAAACTGAAGATTCTGCTCATAGCCAGAGATAGCCATCTTGGGAGCTCAGGCTGGTCCAAGCTCCATTTGATTACCTGAGGGCTGAGGGATTCAATATTGAGAGCAGGGCAACCCATGTGGGCACATCAGTTAGAAAGCTGTGCTTAATGAACCCAGCAAATTCTTTGTGGGGAGACAAATATAAAAAAATCAAGAACATTTTCAGCAAAGCATAGATTCTAAAATTTGTTTTACATTTTTTTTTCGGAAACTCTATTTACCTTGGAGGTAATTTTTTTTAAAAAAGAGATGAGTAAACAATTTTTACAGATCAGTCTTAGCCAAGTCCCTGTATCTCAAGAACTTTCCAGAGTGGAGCCATGGCTAAAGGTTAGAAAGTGAGAGGGGGCCTCTTCTCCCTGAAACCTGCCCTTCTAGACCATTCTCAGTAGTTAGATGGAGAGTCTGTCAGATGGAAAGAACCACCCAGCATGAGAACAATGGGCCCATCAAATATCCTTCACTGTAGCCAGCTTCTCCCAAGCCTCCAAGGTAAGGAAAGAGAGCTGGAAGTATTAGCATCTAAGAGAATCCTGTGATTCTGCAAGTCAAGGAGGAGAATCATTCACAAAAGGCTAGAAATAACTGATTTAGAAGTGGTGCCAAGAAGAACTTGGGTGCTAAACTTCTACTGCTCCCCGTCCTTTCAGAGCCTCTGAGAAGTTTCAATGCCATCTGCTTCCTGACCAGTGTCAAATCTGGGCCATTACAGTCCCTGAACAGACCCTCCTCCCTGCTATCGCCACTCTCTGTCTTGTGGCCTGATATTGAGATTTTTGCCTAAAATCCAACCAGAGTCCTTGGACTTTCTGACAAGCAAAATTTTAATATAAATACTAAATAGTATAACATGTCAATAACCAATAGTTTTCAAGCAGATGAAGTATGCTGTCCTCACCATGGAACTTATGGTCCTGAAGAGGCTTTACCCTTGAGTTGCAAAATCTCCTTAGAGGAAATTCTGAAAGAGCCTTGTAACTGCCCTGGGACATCTGTTTTCACAGGAGGCCAAGGGAGCAGGTGCATGAGCAGCTGAGAGGCGATTTCTTGTTTATAATGTAAACCCTCCATGGTTCACACTCCTCCAGACCCAGATTCTGGCTGAATAGCAAAAAGATGAGTCATCAAAGAGGGATAAAGGAAAAACAAAGGGGAAATGAAGCAATATAATGGAGCAAAAAGAGATAAAATCAATATAACCAAAAATATCTAAAATGGGACCCATAGGAGCCTAAAAAGATAACAGATTAGGATGGCTAGAGTCAATATTTCCCAATCCAACTTTAAGAATTACAAAATGAGATATGTTGGAAGGCAAGTTTCCAATGTCTAATAAAATTTAGAACACTTATACATTTTGACCAAGAAGTACACTTCTTAGAATTTATTAATATATACCCATGTAAGAGACACAGAGGTATATTATTAATAAGATGAATGTACAGCCAGGCATGGTGGCTGAGGCAGGAGGATCACTTGAGTCCAGGAGTTTTGAGACCAGCCTAGGCAACACGACAAAACCCCCATCTCTACAAAAAAATACAGAGGTTGTCTGTTTGTTTGTTTGTTTTTGTAGAGATGGAAGTCTTACTATGTTGCCCAGGCTGTTCTGGTTTAGAAGTGGTGCCAAGAAGAACTCGGGTGCTAAACTTCTACTGTTTCCCCTCCCTTCAGAGCCTCTGAGAAGGTTCAACGCCACCTGCTCCCTGACCAGTGTCAAATCCAGGCCATTACAGTCCCTGAACAGTCCCAGGTACTGTTATGATATCCATTTAGTTTCCTTCAATCAGTTTCTGTTTCTCAGACTTTCTTTGTTTCTTATTAACCTGCCATTTTTATGCCAGGCTCGGTGGCTCATGCCTGTAATCCCAGCACTTTGGGAGGCCAAGGCAGATGTATCACCTAAGGTCACGAGTTCGAGAGCAGCCTGGCCAACATGGTAAAACTCCATCTCTACTAAAAACACAAAAATTAGCCAGGTATGGTGGTGCTACTTGGGAGGCTGAGACAGGAGAATCACTTGAACCGGGAGGCGGAGGTTGCAGTGAGCTGAGATCATGCCAATGCACTCTAGCCTGGGTGACAGAGCAAGACTCTGTCTCAAAAAACAAAAAACAGAAACAAACAAACACAAACACTTGTCATTTTTAAAGAGTACAAGCTACTAACCATTTAATTGTCCTTTAGTTTGGGTAAGTCTGATGTTTCTTCAAGATGTATGCTTTTTTATTGCAAAGAATACCATAGAAGTAATGATGTGGTTTTCTCATTACATTACATCAGGGGCACAGGACTTGTACTTCATTATTGATGACAACTTTTTTTTTTTTTTTTGAGACAGAGTCTTACTCTGTTGCCCAGGCTGGAGTACAGTGGTACAATCATGTCTCACTGCAGCCTCAACCTCCCTGGGCTCACCTGACCCTCCCATGTCAGCCTCCCAAGTAGCTGGGACTACAGGCACACACCACCACACCTGGATAATTTTTGTATTTTTTGCAGACATGAGGTTTCTCCATGTTGCCCAGACTGGCCTCAAACTCCTGGTCTCAAGCAATCTGCCTGCCTTGGCCTCCAAAAGTGCTAGGATTACAGGCATGAGCCACCATATCTAGCCCTGATAATAATATTCATCACTTGGTTAATGTGTTCACCAAGTTTCTCCACTATAAAATTAATTAATGAGTACATTGTGTTCACTGATTAATAGTTAATTAGTACTTTGTAGTAACATGCCTTAATACTTTTACTATAAGGTAGAGCATTCTCCCTATTTATTCATTCATTTAAACATTTATATCACTGTATGTTCACATACACTTATTTTACTCTGAGGTTCAATCTGTAACACTTTTTTTTTTTTTTGAGATGGTGTCTCGCACTGTCACCTAGGCTGGAGTGCAGTGGCACAATCTCGGCTCACTGCAACCTCCGCCTCCTGGGTTCAAGCAATTCTCCTGCCTCAGCCTCCTGAGTATCTGGGATTACAGGTGCATACCACCACGCCCAGCTAATTTTTTGTATTTTTAGTAGAGACGGGGTTTCACTATGTTGGCCAGGCTGGTCTCGAACTCCTGACCTTGTGATCTGCCCACCTCAGCCTCTCACAGTGCTGGGATTACAGGCGCAAGCCACTGTACCCAGCCTCAATCTGTAACTATTATTACAAATAGTTAAATATTGTCCAAATTGTCACAGATTTGGCCAGCGGAAGTTTCTTCAAATTGACTCCTATGTCCTTTTGACATGTACCCTCAAAACTTTTTGTTTTCCTTTTAGACACAGGGTCTTTCTATGTTGCCCAGGCTGGAATGCAGTGGTTATTCACAGATACCATGCCACTACTAATCAGCAAGGAAATTTTGATCTGGTCTATTTCTAGTCTGAGCCAGTCCACCCCTTCTTATGTAACCTGGTTACATACATTCTTATGTAACCTGGCTCCCAAGAGATCACCATATTGATGTCAAACTTAGCACAGTCACCTGATTGGCGTAGTGCACTACAACTCAGAACTCCTGGACTCAGTCATCCTCCTGCCTTAGTCTCCTGAGTAGTTGGAACTACAGGCACACACCACCACACCTGGCAGCCTTCAGTCTTTGAGCTCTTCCTTACTTTCTGGCAAAACAAGATATGCCCAGCTCATCTTGTGTTTTCCCTGTCACAGCCATAGAGACAGCCATTTTTCCAAGGAACACTGGTTCTTTTTATGTGACAATGGTATTTAGAAACCAAGATCTGGATGGTAGGTGTGTTCACTACTACCAGTGTGTCATTCCATCTAGGAACCCTTTAAGAGGAGCCTGAGTGACTATCGGTTTTACTGTTACATTTCTTCATTTTGCTCAGTGACACCTCCAAGATTGCTCTCTATGCCTGATAGCTTCTATTTGCCCCACCATATCCAGTTTCCAGCCTTCTCTGTGTTGCTCTCTGCCCAGGAGCCTGAATAGTATGGACCATAATGATCAGTTGCCAAGTCCACTGTCATTCTGATTGGATTCAGCCAGTTCAGAGTCTCAGTAACAAAAAAAGAAGAAAGAAGAGAGGAAAGTCAGGGTATTTATCACCTTGCCTCCTTCCCCACCAGGTATCTTTGAATTGGCTGTGTCCCTCGACTGGAAGCCCTCATTTTTCTCAGGACCTCTAACTCTGCAATGTTCTCTTCTCCCTGTTCCTGGTAACTGCTCCCCAAACCCTACTTCAGGTAATAGTCTCCATGATTCTCCTGAATTGAAACCTTTGTAAATAAACCCTCCTCAAATGATCTGAGTTAAAATGGCCATCTGTTTCTATCGGGATGCAGACACTCTCTGGGTAAAAACATGAATGCTCCAAAGTTGCTCTCCCTGTTTCCCAAGATATGTGGTGGTCAATGATTAAAAAAAGACAAGACTTCTTGTGAAGCTGCAACTCTGGTATGAAAGCCTTCCTTTTTCAGGGCAAGGGTTGGCAAACTTTTTCTGTAAGGTTGCCAGACAGTAAATGGTTTGGGCTTTGAGAGCTGTATAGTCTCTGTTGCAGCTTCTCTACTCTGCCATTGTAGTGCAAAAGCAATTACAGAAAACAGGTAAACAAATGGGCTTGCTCTTGACATACAAGGACCACTCCTAAGTTGTTCTAATTCACTAAAATGTTTGTTGTAGGATTTTGTTAGATATTGTTTATACAATCAAGGAGCATATAATTTGTAAGCTTCATTTTACAGTTTGGGAAACTGAAAATTATTGAGGTCGATGGTTTGCCCTATGTCTTATAACCATGCAGTGGAAGTAGCAGCAATACTCAGATACTAAATTATTTGTTCCCATTACCATGAATAATTTCTTTGAACAAGGTATTGTGAAGGTAATATTATTCTGGAGAACAGTTGATAGAATAGAGATTTTTGAGGCTAAGAGGGTCTAAGGGTTTGTTGGAAATAATACCATCTATTGGTAGGCTTAGTTCTAGACAGGATGTACCATTATATGGTTGTGTATATTATAACAGTATGACCAGAGGAAAGAGTGTGACATTTTGATTGTCTCCCTAACTAGGTTCTTTGCTATCACAGAGCTACTAAATCAAAGAATTCTGAAGGCTGCTCTACCTTTAAACTTTCCAGTTCTAGTTATAATTAAATAGTTTGATTGGGCTTTCTGTCTTGCTACTGAAAGCATTCTAATAGACAGCCAGAGCTTCCTGCTGTTTATTGATCAAGAAGACAAAAGAAAATATTCAGCAACCAGACGCCATTGAGTACGTAGTACCATAGATATAGGCTTATTTTATCCTGATTTTGCTTTCTGAAATGCTATAAACTTTTCAGCTTAAAAGCTTACAGCAAAAGTGAAAGTGTTTGTTTTGCATATTCAGGAAAACTCATTAAATAGTTTTAGTTACTCAGATATTATTTAACTTGTAATATACTTGAGTATATGTGTTGCATGAAAACGATTCATAACTTAGAGTGAAAGCAGGATATATAAAATTATGTTGAAATATCTTTAAATGAATTTTATAGTCTCCCATCAATTTGTCAATCTAGGCAGTCATGAACTATTTATTGAATGTCCACTAAGTGCAAGCTAGAACCAGTGGAATTAGAGCAGGCAGTGTGCAATCCAAACACAGCAAGAAGCAGTGGAGCTCCAGTATGGTCATTTTATGACCATTTTATCACCTTCTTTTTAAAAAACTAGTATCTATTGGTGAAATGCTAACTTGTTATTTATAAAATGAATTTGGGAAGGGGATGGTTGACAGTTGTCACAGTCTATTTTGTGCTGCTATAACAGGGTAATTTATAAAGAACAGACATTTATTCTTACGGTTCTGGAGGCTGGAAAGTCCAAAATCAAGGCATTTGGTCTGGTGGGGGCCTTCTTACTATATCCTCACACAGAGGACAGAAGGGCAAGCTAGCTACATGCTGCGTGAAGCCTCTTTTTAAACGACCTTAAATCCATTAAAGATGGAGCAGCTCTTATGGCCTAATCACCTCCTAGAGGTCCCACTTCTTAATATTATCACATTGGCAACACCTAAATTTTGGAGGCCACCCATTCAAACTGTAGCAATGGTCTCCCTTCCCCTTCCCCTCCCCCCTTTCTCCCCTCCCTCCTTCCCCCCCCTTTGCCCTTCCTTCCCCTTCCCTGTTCTTTCTTTTTTTTCTTTTCTGTCCATAAATGTTCTTCCATCACGTGGCTGCACTGGAGTCTCTGAGCCTACTGATGCTCAAAAGGCTGCCTGATTTACGAATCATTCATCAAACCATAGCAATGGATTTTCATTTGTTTGCAAGCAAAGTAATGGCAATTCTTTTTTTTTTTTTTTTTTTTTTTTGAGATGGAGTCTCACTCTGTCACTCAGGCTGGAGTGCAGTGGCATGATCTCAGCTCACTTCAAGCTCCGCCTCCCAGGCTCACGCCATTCTCCTGACTCAGCCTCCTGAGTCAGGAGAGCTGTAGCTACTACAGGCTCATGCTGCCACGCCCGGCTAAGTTTTTTGTAGTTTTAGTAGAGACGGGTTTTACCGTGTTAGCCAGGATGGTCTCGATCTCCTGACCTTGCGATCCGCCCGCCTCGGCCTCCCAAAGTGCTGGGATTACAGGCTTGAGCCACCGCGCCCGGCCATAATGGCAATTCCACAGTGAAAATACTCTTGCAATTCCAATAAGAAAAAAGTGGAGGCAGGGGCGGGGACGGAGGAAGTATTCCAAATGTTTTCAAGGCTTTTCCTAGTCTGTTAAGTTTCTTTGTTTTGTTGGAATGCCTAAGTCAATGAATTCAGTATTGATTTATTTCAAAGCCTTGAAGGCTTGAAGCCTTGAGAGAGAATGAAAAGAAGGAAAGATTTTCCTCGACTGTGTTAAGCCTTGAGGCATGGAAACTGTAGTCATGAAAAGCACATCACAGACATCTTTGTTCCTTGTTAAAACCTGTGGGAAATAACTCTATGGCTGATGTTGAAAGGTATATTACTGATTAGTGAGAAGATTTATCATTTAAGCAGGATTTCTTAATCCCACCAAAGTAAACTAGACTATATCATGACCATGCTGCAGCTCCCCTGCTTCTTGCTGTGTTCAGGTTACACACTTTGCCTGCTCCAATTCCACTGGTTCTAGCTTGTGCTTAGTGGACATTCAATCAACAGTTCATGACTGACTACCCAGACAAATTAATGGAAGACTGTATCATTCATTTGAGGATCTTTTCAATTTAATTTTTACTTTTACATTTCCCATCAGGCATGTTAAGTATTTTAGTTCTGTTTTTTTTTTTTCTTTTCTTTTTTCCATTATAAAAAAGTAAGTGGTATAGTAAAAAGGCGTGAGTTCAAAGAGTGTTTTGATGCAGGGTATGGTGGCTCTTGCCTGTAATCCCAGAACTTTGGGAGGCCAAGACAGAAGGATTGCTTAAGGCCAGGAGTTTGAAACCAGCCTAGATAACGTAGCAAAACTCCTGCTCTATGAAAAAAAATTTTTTTTTAAATTAGCTGGGCATGGTGGCATGCACCTGTAGTCCTAGCTACTCAGCAGGCTGAGGTAGCAGGATCCCTTGAGCCCAGGAATTCTAGGTTATAGTGAGCTAGGATAATCCCACAGCTCTCCAGTTTAGGCAACAGAGCAAGATTTACAAGAAATAAAAGAGGCCAGGCGTGGTAGCTCACGCCTGTAATCCCAGCACTTTGAGAAGCCAAGGCGGGCGGATCACGAGATCAAGAGATCCAGACCATCCTCGCTAACATAGTGAAACCCTGTCTCTACTAAAAATACAGAAATTAGCTGGGCGTGGTGGCATGCACCTGTAGTGACAACCACTTGGGGGGCTGAGGCAGGAGAATCGCTTGAACCTGGGAGGCGGAGGTTGCTGTGAGCCGAGATTGTGCCACTGCACTCCAGCCTGGTGACAGAGCGAGATTCCGTCTCAAAAAAAAAGAGAGTGTTTTGATGCTGCTCTCGTTTAACACTTTACTTAATATAATACATACCTCGCCATTATAAAAGTTATGGCAGTAGGTGATAAAAAGTGTAACATTTATTGAGTTCTTACTGTATGCCAGGCAACAAGCTGTATTCTTTGCTTGAAAATGTAAAATTCAAGCCTGGCCAACGTGGTAAAACCTTGTCTCAATTAAATATACAAAAAAACTAGCCAGATGTGGTGGCACATGCCTATAATCCCAGCTACTTGGGAGGCTGAGGCGTGAGAATTATTTGAACCTGGGAGGCGGAGGTTGCAGTGAGCTGAGATCACACCACTGCACTCCAGCCTGGGTGACAGGGTAAGACTGTCTCAAAAAAAAAAAAAAGAAATTTAAAAATTCTTACCTACAACAACTTTCTAAGTAGGTAATATTATTTTCCTTGTTTTATAGATAAGAAAACTATATAGGTTATATTGCCTGTGAAGCTATATAAAATATATGCATTTACACAGAAGGACATTAATAAGGAAAATAAAGACATTAGGACAAGTGTAGTGGCTCATGCCTGTAATTCTAGTACTTTTGGCAGCTGAAGCGAGAGGACTGCTTGAGCTCAGGAGTCGCAGACAAGCTTGGGCAACATGGCAAAACCCTGTCTCTACAACATACAAAAATTAGCTGGGTGTGGTGGTGCATGCGTGTAGTCCCAGCTACTCAGAAGGCTGAGGTAGGAGAATTGCTTGATCTCAGAGGCAGAGGTTGCAGTTAGCCAGGATTATGCCACTGTACACCAGCCTGGGTGACAAAGTGAGACCTGATTTAAAATAGAAAGTGTCACACTGAAGGTTTTTCCTCTGTTGTAGAGCAGGTAAACCCCTCACACCCCACATCAACTCTCAGTGGATTCCTCCTGAATGTCCAAGGCATTGTTTAATCAGCTCAGTGGACTAGGTCAATATTTAGATTTTAAAGCTCTCATTCCTGACCAAATGTCCACAAACAGAATAGCAAAAATGTTTTATAAAATTTCTCCTATATGATTTGTATTGATTAGCAAATTTCCATCACTTAATCATTTTTGACAGTAAAAGAAATCTTCAGGAAATATCTAATAGACATTTTATTTTCAGCAGTGAAGCATTTAGGAAAAATAACATTTTGTTCATTACTCATTGTATCGATGGTGCATAAGAGAAGAGTGTTTCACAAACCAGTGTGTGCACTACCCAGTCGCTGGTGCAGACACAAATAAAGATAAATCTTCTCAAAGGAAATTAAGTGAAGCCAGCGGGCCATTAGCTAATACTCTTGCAACACTTTATCCTAGTCATATAGAGGAAGGATTGAAAGATGGACATTTAAGATCTGGCAAGATACGCAAGATAATCATCCAAAGTAAAGCTATTTGTTACATTACTCCTCTATTTTTCTGTAGATAATATATTACATCTATTGAAATATATGAAGAGCTAAGCAAAAATTGTACCAGACATAAATT